CCCTGCCTTGGTGGGATTCGGCCAGTGTGATAATAAAAAGAAAAAACATAAAATATGCAGTAACTTTAAAACACTTGAAATTTTGGAAAGTTTCCTGACATAATAGATGTGGTCACGGAAAATGTAAACAAACTGGCTGGGGGGCACCGTATTTGAAAGACCGCTTGCCGTTTAGCAAATTCTGGTCATAATTTGAGATCGCCGTATTAGTGGAACGCCGTAAGGCGAAACGCCGTAAAGCGGGGCCTTACTGTACTGTCATTAGGCCCTACATCATATCTTGTATACTTATTTATCCTCTTTTTCTTAAAATACGTATTACTTATAACTAAACCCCTTTCTATACAAAGTTCAATGAAAGGGCTCCCATTACCATTTACACCTGGCACCCGAAACTTACCTACCACAATTACTCTCTCACTTGGTTCAAAGGCTCCTATACATTCACTTAACATCTCCCAAAATCTCTCTCTCTCTCTCTACACTCCTCTCTTCTCCAGGTGCATACATGTTATTATGACCCACTTTCACATCCAACCCTTATTTTATTCCACATAATCCTTGAATTTAAACATTTGTATTCCCTCTTCTCCTTCCATAACTGGTCATTTGAACATAATTATTGCTACCCCTTCCTTAGCTCTAACTCTCTCAACTACTCCTGACTTAATCCCATTTATTTCTCCTCACTGAAACTCGCACACCCCCTTCAGCTTTGTTTCGCTTAGGGCCAGGACATCCAACTTCTTTTCATTCATAACATCAGCAACCATCTCTTTCTTATCATCCGCACTACATCCACGCACAATCAAGCATCCCAGTTTTATAAAGTTTTTCTACTGATTTTTAGTAAATGTGTAAAGGAGAAGAGGTTACTAGCCCACTGCTCCCGGCATTTTAGTCGCCTCCTCCTGCTTCAACTCATCTGACTGCTGTATATAAGCCACCTCTCTGGCCCTATGCTGCACTTCCTACAAGAGTGATGGACTGTACACATCGATTCCAGGTTGAGGGACTGATTACCTCGAATTCCTCCTCTCCTTACCCATTTCTACTTTGTACTGGACTGATGAAGCCACTGTGTGGCAAAACGTTTCTTCAATAAAGATTCCCATGTGTTGCACATGTGTCTCAATTCTTCAACTTGTCGGTTTTCAAAACCATTCACCACATCTGTCAGACACTGCAACATCATGGGATCTTGGTACAAAGACTTCAACATTTGCCCAACCTTTGGACGACGACCTACTTACACAAGTGGCAGGTCCCACTGTGATCCCGCCTCCTCCTGCTTCAACTCATCTGACTGCCGTATATAAGCCACCTCTCTGGCCCTATGCTGCACTTCCTACAAGAGTGATGGACTGAACACATCGATTCCAGGTTGAGGGACTGATTACCTCAAACTCCTCCTCTCCTTACCCATTTCTACTTAGTATTGGACTGATGAAGCCACTGTGTGGCGAAACGTTTCTTCAATAAACATTCCCAAGTGTTGCACAAGTGTCTCAATTCTTCAACTTGTCAGTTTTCAAAACCATTCACCACAAAAAAATTGTTGGCTTTTTCTGGGGGGTCTAACAAATGTAACCCCCATTTTTTCCCACATGTTCTTCAGTTCATTTTAGACCGTTTTTCTTTTAATAGGTTGCTGTCTTCAGAAGTGTAACTAATGTCTTACCCCATGGGGTGAGTGGAACAGAATTCTTCCTCCATAAGCCATGCATGTCGTAAGAGGCAACTAAAATTTCAGGAGCAAGGGGCTATTAACCCTTTCTCCTGTACATATTACTAAATTTTAAAGAAGACACTTTTGTTTTTCCTTTCGGGCCGCCCCGCCTCAGTAGGATATGGCCAGTTTGTTAAAAGGAGGAGAACCACTGTTTTAACCCTCTCGGGGTGGGTCCTGTTATACTACGGTTTTGAAACGCAGGTTGGTGCCGTCGTACAATGCCATGAGCACAGCTCACTCAGATAAGCTGGGAGCGGTAAATTTAGGCCTAGATATGAAAGAATGGGTCTATGTGGTAAGTGTGCACCACATAAAAAATCCTGAAGCAAGCAGTGCATATTGGGGAAAAAACTGCGACCACGTTTTTTGGATTAAAACAGCGAGTTTGGAGTGTATTTTCGTATGGTTTTTATGGTTGTATTCTTGGTTTCTTGATCTTATTTGATATAATGAAATTGAGCTCAAACTAGTGAAACCGTTCGATTTTTGCTGATATTCCAGGGTACAGATATTACATCACTCATCCAGTAAGTGTACATCTGGTCGGTCTAATACGTGTTCACAAATGCACATTATTTATACAATTATTACAATAATGCAGTAGTCTGCATAACAATAAATCTTCTATTTTTTGTGTGAATAAAAACAAGCCTTATATAGGAGAGGCCTAGAAATGCAACACTGAATAGAAGAAATGATGTTTTAGTACCAGGAATGTCTACTCTGTTTATTCTGGACTCTATTTGAAAACTGGCAATTTTTTTTTATTTTGTGTGAAATGGGCCAAATTACCAATTTCTGATCACTTTACTGGGCAGTTGAAATAGGTAAATGGTAGTATTCTTGTACTCAATCAACAGCACAGAAGGAATACAGTGGACCCCCGCTTAACGATCACCTCCCAATGCGACCAATTATGTAAGTGTATTTATGTAAGTGCGTTTGTACGTGTATGTTTGGGGGTCTGAAATGGACTAATCTACTTCACAATATTCCTTATGGGAACAAATTCGGTCAGTACTGGCACCTGAACATACTTCTGGAATGAAAAAATATCGTTAACCGGGGGTCCACTGTACTAAAAAAATAGAAATGAGTTTGGTCGACTGAAACAATGGAACTGACTGAAAATAGGGCTCAAAGTGGGTGAAATCGCCGATGCGTAAATATCACCGAGACCATTAACTTCGCGAGAGCATAATTCCGCAAGTTTTCCAATAAACTTCACACTTTTGGTTTCATCACATTCAGAAAATGAGTATCATTTGATCAGAAAAACACTTTTTTTTATTTTTGTACATTCATACCCTAAGAGCAATTCTCAGATAAGGGGTTCACCCTGAAAAGGTTAATCAACAATCTCTGTATATGCACACACACACCATGTACATGGTGCCCACGTACATGCATGAAACACATGCATACAGTGTCATTCAAAAACATACAAGCACAGCCCTTAGAAAATGCAGATAGCAATTTTACAACATTTGAACAGTTTCAATTTATAAAAAAATCTTATATTTGCTTGAATAATCAAGACTAGCATATACTAATAAAAGCAGTGGAACTAATTATCTTCACTAATAAAGAATTGACTACAAAAGCTTTATGTATTCAAGATTTAACACTTCTAGAAACTGTCGCCTGGAGTCTACACAACATGAAACTTAATGACTGCACCAAATAACATGAACCAAACTTAAGTATTTCCTTAACTCTTCAGTGTCCAGACCCCAGATCTGAAACTTGTCTACAGGGTCCAAGAATTTTCAAAAAAAAATTTTGTTATTCTTTCTTGTGAAAGGGGAGAGATTCTTTTTCTGAAGAAAAAACAAAATGTAAAAAATTTGATGGAAAATTGACGAAATTATGCTCTCATGAATTTTGCTGCGCGAGTGATATTTACGCAATGACAATTTTGCCCACTTTGACTCCCATTTTATGCCAATTACATTATTCAATTTTTACCAAATTCTTAGCTATTTCACAAAGTAATTAATTGTATTTTATCGATTGAGCGCAAGAAATTGCACAATCAACTATGTCAATTAACCAATAAATTGATCAGAAATTGGTAATTTGGCCAATTTCACACAAAGTACAAAATATTCCATTTTCAAAATAGGGTCCAGAATAAACAATACAGGCATTCCTAGCACTAAAATAACATTTCCTCTTTTTAAATTAGTTTACTTTTTCCTGGCTTTACAAATGAATTCCATTTTCATTTTTTTTTCACATAATGAATTTTATTTCCACACCAAAAAATAGAAAATTTACTGTTATGCAATACTGTAACAACTGCATCAATATTATCAGTGCATTTATAATCACATTAGACCCCACCAGCTGATGTGTATTGGATGCATGACGTGATTTGGTTTACTCTTGAACATCTGCAAAAATCAAACATATCTCCCTACTTTGAGCTCAGCTTCAAGCCATTTTCATACGAAAACCAATCAAAATCATCTCTATTTTCTGTAATATACTTCAGTTCTATAAAATGAGACAAAGAAACCACAAATGAACAGTAAAAATCACACGAAAATACACAGCAAATTTGTTTTAAAACCCAAAAACACGGTCGCCCGTCTTTTTTTTCTCATTATGCACTGCATGCTACAGGATTAGTTTTATATGAGCACACTTACCACATAATGCATTCTCTCACATCTAGGCCCAAATTTAAACCCCTCACGGCTTATCTGAGTGACTGAGCTCATGGCGTAAAAACTACGGCTTGGACCCAGGGTTCAAGCCGTAAAACTATGGGACGGACCCTCAAAGGGTTAACTATTCTTTACAAAAAAAAAAAAATAAAAAGCAAACAATTTGCTGCTACAGAATACTTTCTGGGTCTGCAATTTTAACAAACCAATCCAGCACACCATCTGATACCAGGAATATGTTTTATCAAGTTTGGTGAATGTTTGTCAACTTGTGTCATTCTAGAGACAGACCTCCACACTCTACTCAGTACAGGAAAGTTCATTCCAAAAATGGGCCCCAGGAGGCTACATTTCCTAATTTCAACAGAAAAACACCACCTATAACCATATACGAGTGCTGAAGTTTAAAAATATATCTGAGATGTTCTCAGATAACCGAAAAAAGGAAAATGGACAAAAAAATAAATGGAAAAAGTTACATTAGGCAACTAAACAGGAAAAGTGAAGGCATTCCTCAAAACAGAAATGATTAATTAGAATCTGATTTATGTATTTTTGAAGACTAAAAAAATGTTAAACTAAAAGGTTTACTGTACCTCATACTCTTTAGGTTCAATCTGTATTCCAGCTTTACCCTTAGGAGCTGAAACTTTTGCCTTCTTTTTAGGAGGAGGTCTCACTACCTTTTTCTCAGCCTTTGTCTTGACTTTACGAGATCTTGTCCCAGCAGGAATGACTTCCTCTGTTAGAAAATTAAGCAAATTACACACACAAACTATAGTACCTGCTCCCTCTAATACAAATCAAAATACCTGTATAATACAGTTTACCATATATTCTGGATCATTACCCACTCTTAATCACCCATAACCCATGCTTCACACCCATATAACAGTGTTGGTACCACTATACTCTCATACATTCCCTTATTTATTTATTTATATGGTCAGTCTGCATATTAATTAGTATGTATTTTCAGTAATGTGGTGGAGGAGAGGTAACGGCTAATTAATAAGGAGGATTTTTCATTACCATCTGTGAAAGTTCTCTCTAGTTTATTCAATAATTAATTAAATCAATATAAAACATTAGTATATAATACCTTGGTCTTCATCCAGCTCACTGTAGGAAAATTTTATTGCCTTCCTAGTCTCAATTGTTCTCTGTTCATCCTCTCCAGGACGCTTTTTTGGGGCCATTGCATTCTGGAAAATAAATAACTAAATAAATATGAGTGTGAGTGTATGTGTGCGTGGTGTGTGTGTGTGTGTGGTGTGTGTGTGTGTGTGTGTGTGTGTGTGTGTGTGTGGTGTGTGTGTGTGTGTGTGTGTGTGTGTGTGTGTCATGTGTGTGTGTCGCGTGTGTGTGGTCCCCGTGTGTGTGTCGCGTGTGTGTGTGTCGCGTGTGTGTGTCACGTTTTGTCGTGTGTGTCGTGTGTGTTTTTGTGTGTCGTGTGTGTGTGTCGTGTGTGTGGGCTGTGTGTGTTTGTGTGTGTGTGTCGTGGGGGTGTGTCGTGTGTGTGTGTCGGTGTGTGTCGTGTGTGTGTCATGTGTGTGTCGTGTGTGTGTCGTGTTGGGGTGTCTGTGTGTGTCGTGTGTGTGTCGTGTGTGGTCGGTTGTTCATGTGTATGTCTTTCTGTTGTGCGGTTGTCATCGTGTGTCGTGCTTGTGTGCGGGGGGCGTGTGGGGTTTTGTGTGTGT